ACAACATGCAACCTACGGGAAATAACGTAAACCACACGAACGAATTTAAACCACATGCCTAGACACAACTCACAAATCACGTTACGTCACCTAATCATGTGAGACTCATACACGTCAAATGAGACACAACGGGGCATGGGTGTAACACCCCTAAAATTTTAAACTTTGAATACTTATAAAATAAAGGCAATACTATCATTAATTCCGAAACAGAGCGTTACTAAACATGAGTTTTTGGAGTGTTATGTCACATCTGAGCTGGAGAACTCAGATGCACAGGTTATACTATCTAAATATCCTCAAAATAGTGTCATTACATCATCATGGCGCGCAGGCCGATAAGGAAACTAACTATCTAAGCCTCGGGTCCTCTAGCGCGCTCTGGAGCTACTCATCTGTGCCTGAAAGAAAAATATATCTGTTCAGCAAATAATGCTGGTAACCCACTCCAACGCGTTAAAATACAATATATATATATATATATATATATATATATATATATATATATATATATATATATATATATATATATATATATATATATATATATATATATATATATATAGGAAAACCATTTTGAAGCCGGAAGATATATACTTAGGAGACTCTAGCTTTAAAACTGAGAATAGACTCAACAAGTAGGGACAAGCACATTCAACAGTTATAATCATGCGTATAAAGATACTAGCATATATCCTAAGGTCACAAGATTTATTTCACATCATTCATATCATTATTCAATCATTATCTCAACACATAAGCACACTTTGGTGGCGCCACAGGACCAATCGCATGCCCATACATGAGGGTCAGCGCATATAGCGCTAACACGGCCCGGCAGCACCCTGCCTCGTACCGCAACACAAAGGGGTTGATCGCAACCAACCGATGAATTGCAGCTCATCATAACGTTTGATCGCAACCAACGGTGGACCACAGCCCAAAAGGTGTATTTGTGATCACAACCAGATTATGAACCGCAGCTCATGTATAACATTTGATCGCAACCAAACGGTGGACCGCAACCCTATATAATATTTATATACCTGACCGATCGCAACCGGCCTGGTTAACAGCCGATGGTTCTCAACCCATCCAACTGCCCGTATAGCCAATTTGATCGCAACCAAATTGGGGTATCATGCACACATAACACATAGCAAGCACATGCAACTCACATTAGCACATTGGGAATGGGGAAAACGTATAAATAAAACTTATGCGTGGTCATCTACTTACTAGGAACATTCCTAAGGGGTTCATATGTCTTTCACCTAGGCCAATGGGGTACCAATTCAACTAGCATGCAATACACAAGACTCTTTTATCCTACAAATGGTACCCGAAACATCAAACTAGACTCAGGCACGACAAACGGGGTCCGTTGGGACTCCACGGGAGACGGGAAAACATCAAACGGGAAAAATCACCATCCCACACTGGGAAACCAGCGGGTGGCCGGCGGGCGGACCTTCCACCCGCCGGCGGCGTGCTTCTGGGCGGGTGCCCGGCAGGCAACCTTTTTAAAACATATTGAATTGACGAATTGGATAGCATAGAAGTTTTCTCTCGTGAGACTCGTGTACGCTGGCACCTATAGGCATGTTTGTGTTATAGAGGTGACTTTATTATCAGTGTAAATGTCATGGTTAAACTTGACAAAAAAATTATTTTATAAGAGTCCATATATAAATTTTCTATGAATAATTGAATGTTGTCCATTTTCATGCTAGATTTTAATTAAATCTTTTTAAATTACTATTTTAAAATTAAAAATGGTTAAATAGATCCCTGAATTTATATGAAAAATTGACTAAGCACATAAATTTTTAAAAACTTACAATTAAATATATCAATTTGTCATTTTTGTGTATATGGATTAAATAGCCATTTATATACCGAAAATTAGGATTTCAGTTATCATAATCCTAATTACCGGTTATTACCCGTAGATAACCAACTATTAGTTTAAAATGCACAAAAATGAACAGTTAATGTGTTTAATTACAAATTTTTAGAATTCATAAGATTTTTTTTTTAAAATTTTTTTAATCAAGTGTAAAGGTGTATTTGGTCATTTTCTATAACAAAAATAATGGAAGTCGAATACAACTATATAAGTTCTCTTGTCATTCAAAAAAAATATAAGTTCTCTTGAATTTGTACCCATGCCTTTTTGTGGGATTTAAGGGTCGTACAATGTGTTTGGTTAATGTGGTTAGACAAAAAGAATGAGAATGAAGGTCATACACGTTGTTTGGTTGATAATTTTTAAAAACACAAGTAGTGTATGACTTGATAACCCTTATAATTACAAAACTCATTAACTAATTGAAATCATGTAACATTCCATTTATTCAGTCTTCTCACTCCTCATTTCATCTATTCCTCACTCATCTCTCCTCACTTCATCGACTTCATCACTGCATTGCCTACTCGATCACCACATCGCCTACTCGATCACCACATCGCCCCTCCTAAGATCAATTGCATTGATTTTTTGTTTTTGTAGTTTTAAAATATTTATTCTTACAGGATTAAATACAACCAAACATCAACATTGTTGATCATCCAAAATTCCACCATACTACCAAACATGCAAAATACTTTTATCAAAATCCATTCCAATTACCAAGTATTTGATTTTCATTTCGATTCCGATTCTCATGTACGAACCAAACACGCCCTGAATTGAGTTTCAATGTGCCAAACAACTAACAATATGTGGGTGTTAATGTGCAGTGTTATAAGAAGTGATAAAGTTAAATCTTTAATTGGTGTAAATTGTTTGTGATGAACTTTAATTAGAATTCTTTCGTAAAGAAGATATCATTGTTCATTCAGACTCGCAGAGCATCATACTAAAAAAAAAAAAAAAAAGGATGAGTTTAGTGAACTGTGAGTGCATATTTCGCAGAGCATCATACTAAAAAAGAAAAAGGAAAAAGAAGAGTTTAGTTAAATGTGATGAATTGACATGCATGTGATGAAAGTACATTTGAAGACAACAATTTTTAATACGAAAATACTATATAGACTTTCACTTTTTACTCCCAATTTATACTATTTTTTACAAATTTTTGATATAGACACTTTTTTTAGATTCACATGATGATGAAAATATTCCATCATTCTTTACCATGGAAATAAAAGTGAGAGAATAGAATTTGAGAGTATATGTAATAGAATACTTTTTAATATAAGACATCCACCCTGCCTACCGATCCACTATTTGTCTTCATTTGTTTAATGGCGTTACGTTGCACCTTATCCTCCTCGCCTTCATCTCTTCTAGGTTCTAGCTAATCTTTGTTTATGTAAATTAATTGTCAGAAGACTTCACAAGTAATAAAACAATATACTTGTACAATAATTTTTAGTTAGGTCATAAAATAAGTTATAGTTTTTCCTTTCGTTTGGAGATAATGGTGAAGTTGATGTGGAGATGGGTGATATCTGACCCTCAATTTGCCAATAATGATATGCATGGAAAATTGAAAAAAAAAAAAAAGGAGATTTTTTTATTTTATATAAGATTTTCATTAACTACTAGTAAGTTAGTTTATCTCATCACGACAATAATGATCTATGTAACAAGTGATTTATGTATAAATATATATGTTGGATTAGGATGTGGAATCCGATTGTCATTCACTCATTCTTGTTCAAGTGGGTAAGCTTTGGCGTAATTAACTTAAGTTTCTAGGTCATGTTTTTTTTTTTTTTTTTTTTTTTTTTTTTTTTTTTTTTTTTAAGGAATAATAATTTGGGTATTTTGTTGCCATAAATATAGAGAATTTCTTACGATTCAATCAACACAAACTATAATGGAAAGAATACAAAGCTTCATACTTTGATGATAAAGTATAATTGAACTAAATTTATAGCTAGTATTATAACTCCGAATGACCAAACTTCTATTAGATCGATGATAGATGGAGTAGTAAACACAAATAATAAAAAGTATGACGTTTATATAATCAAATCATTAAAAAGCATGACGTTCATCCTTGTTCCGTGACTCCTTCACTGCCAATTAAGCATCCTCCTTTATCTTCATTCGAGCACCACCTCTTCAGCAACCTTGTAATCCCTGATATGATTTTTCATTATATTTTGTGTGTTGTTGGTATATATGTTCTTTGGGTGCATTTGTATGTGAGACCATAATTTGTCTGTGATTTTTTTCTTTTACTTTGTATGTTAGTAGTAGGGAAATGAAAATATTTTAGTATTCATTCACTTCTTCCCTCTCAATTCCTCATCATTCTAATCTTTCCTACCAAACAATGTAATTTAAATTTTCACTTTATTCTTTTATGACCAAATTACAATTCTTTTTCCCCCTAATTCCTTCATTCCAATGAAACACCCGATGAGAGTTTGGTGGACATGTCTAACATAAGTACAATATGCTTTAATTTGTATAGAGTTTGGTAAACATGTAGTAGAGATAACAAAATACTTGTACAATAACAGAAATGGTGCATAAGCAATATAAATGCTTGTTTGTAAGTGAGTGTAGTGCTCCTCGATCATGGAAATTTATATCGCGCACTAGGACGTGCATTGCATTGTGCACCCTAGTACAAAATGACGTCGTTTTGTATTTTTTTTTTTTTTTTAGAAATTTCGCTTTCCGAGTGTCGGCTTTACTTTCTTTTAAAAAAATCTCTTGTTTCGAAAATGTACATAATTGTATAACATAATGTACATAATTGTATACAAAATACACATACTCTTTTTTGAAACGATAATAACATAATACATAATACACATAAACTCTTAACATAAACAGGCTCTGATACCATAATGAGAAAATGACAAAGGAAGAAGGAAGAAGCAAAAATATTATTTGAGAATATTTCTGATGATCAACGAAGAATGAACAAAGCCGAAATAAATAGAGCAGGCTACAACTAACTCCACTCTAGTTTGATGCTAGACTAGGTACAAAATCAAAACAATAATTTAAATGAATTCAAAATAACAAGAAATAGTCAATTCACATGCTGCTTCAATATCCCCCCGCAAGCTAGATCATACATAGAATGTATGCCCAGCTTGGACTTGAACATGTTAAAAACAGCTGGAGCGTGAGGCTTAGTAAAGAAATCCGCAAGTTGATTGGAACTTGAAACATACAAAACCTTTAAAGTCCCATTTTGAATACGCTCACGGACGAAGTGACAATCAATACCGATATGTTTGGTCCGCTCATGAAAAACAGGATTTTTAGCAATTGCGAGAGCAGACTGACTATCAGAAAACAAAACTGATGAGGATGATGGCACAATACCAAGATCACCAAGCAAGAAGAGCAACCATTGTATCTCACAGCTTGTAGTAGCAAGTGCTCTATATTCCGCCTCGGATGATGAACGAGAGACAGTTTGCTGCTTCTTCGACTTCCAGGAAACTAAAGAATCCCCAAGGAAAACACAATAACCAGTAACAGATTTCCTTGTTTTAGGACAGGTAGCCCAATCTGAATCTGAAAAGCCCTTCAACTGAAAAATTGGATTCGGGGAAAACAAAATACCTTGGCCTGGGGATTTTTTAATATATCGAAGCACTCTATGAACCGCCTTAAGATGTACCTCCGTAGGTGCACCGACGAACTGAGAGAGTTGTTGCACGGCATAAGTGATATCTGGGCGTGTGATCGTTAAATAAAACAACTTCCCTATAATTCTTCTAAACATGGTTGCATCACTAAGAAGAGGACTATCATCATGGAGGAGTTTAGAAGAAACAACCATGGGACTATGAACTGGTTTACAACCCAGAAAATCCATTTCTTCAAGCAACTCTAAAGCGTACTTGCGTTGACAAAGATTGATCCCACGAGAGCTACGTGCTACTTCGAGACCCAAAAAAAACTTTAAAGGCCCAAGTCCTCAATATGGAATATTGAATCCAAATGAGACTTGATTGCCCGAATCTGTTCAACATCATTGCTAGCAACCACGATGTCATCGACATACACCAATAATGCAATAAAAGTCATACTTGACCCTTTAGAAAACAAAGTATGATCCGAAGAAGCTTGTGAAAAACCTTGGGCAAGCAATTCTGCGGTCAATTTTGCATTCCACTGCCTACTGGCTTGCTTTAATCCATATAAAGACTTAAGTAGCTTGCAAACTTTTCCTGGCTTCTTAGTTTCTACTCCGGGTAGCAGAGTCATATAAACCTTTTCATCCAAATCCCCATGTAAAAAAGCACTATTCACATCAAGTTGATGTAAATGCCAACCCTTCATAGCAGCAACAGCAAAAAAAAACACGAATTGTAGTTACCTTTGCAACTGGACTAAAAGTGTTTAGATAATACAAACCTAGGGTCTGTGTATACCCTTTTGCAACCAACCTCGCTTTATACCTTTCAATTGAACCATCAGCATTTAACTTGACTTTATAAACCCACTTACAACCAATGGGTTTCTTGGAAGGTGGCAAATCAGTGATCACCCAGGTCTTGTTAGCATCAAGAGCATCCAATTCAACTCTCATAGCTTGACGCCAACATTCTGACTTAATTGCTTCGTTATAACTCCTTGGCTCAGAAATACTACATGTTGCTAGTGCAAAATTCTTGTGTGAAATAGCAAAATTATCATAATTTATCACTTTGTAAATAGAATGTGGAGTACCTTGCAATTGTACGCAGGAACTAGAAGGAGCGCATCTTTTCAATTGACAATGATAATCTCTTAAATAAGTCGGAGGGACTCGAGTACGCGTAGAACGCCGTAACCCATTTTGATTTGCTCCACCATGATTCTGTAAATTATTTTCAGAGATAGCCTCATCTCCAGAACCCCTCATATCATCTCCGGAACCCCTCATATCTGCTTCATCAAGTCCTTCTTGATGAATAAGTAGTGAATGATCATTCTGACAAGCAAATGATGGTGACGACGGGGTGTCTACATGTTGCTCATTACCATTTTCCATGGTTGGAGCAGGAGGAAAATCATTGACACAATTTTGACTACCAGCTGAAGGAGAGGATGAAATGCCATCACATGCAGCATATTGTGGAAAATTGACACCTGTACTACTTTGTTCACTATTACCAAGTCTAGGGTAAGATTGATGCACTTGGTTTTGGTGTATTGCATTGATATCATCTCCAAGAAATTGGACACCAACTGGTAGAGGAACATCATTATATTGTACCTGTCCAGTAGCCTCTTTTGTAAAATGAAAAAGATATTCGTAAAATATAACATCTCTCGAGACAAAAATTTCTCCTGTGTTGGTATCATACAACTTGTAACCCTTGGTGCCCTTTTGATATCCAATAAAAATACATCTTCTTGCACGCGGAGAAAACTGGGCTAATTAGAAGGCTAAATTACAACACGTAATCAGCACGACTCGCCATTAGAATCTCCCGTGAACCGTATTGTTTTCTTAAAAATTCTTGTTATTTATTCCTATGTGTTTGCCCGGTTCTTTTCATGTGCTCTTGCCATGGGATGATGAATTTGTGTTGGATAAATTTTTCTGTCATTTTGTTTCCTTCCTCGTCATCTCATGTGTTTAATATAATTTTTGTTGCTGGTGTTTACGTGCACTGCTTTTAAATGCTGCTGTAAAACTCCTTACTGTCATGATTCTAGAAGGTGAAACCCCATTGATGAAGGCTAATAGCAAGGAGAAAGATCAGGCAGGGAAGCAGTTTGCAGAAGATAGCTTTAAATCAAAAGTCAAGGACCAAAACGCTGTCGTTTTGGGTTAATTCGAATAAACAAGTCACTTATCTAAACGACGGCGTATGAAGGGGAGTCGTTGGAGCCGTTGCGGAGAAGAGCTAAACGTCGTCGTTTGAAGCTAGCCGTTGGAAGCAGTTGAAAACCTCCTCAACGACGCCGTTTGGATACAAACACAGTACAAAATGCTCAGCGTGAAAAGGGGAGTTGGTTAGGATATTTCTGATTTGTTTTGACTTGTTTTTGATATTTATTGTAAGGTTTTTGGTTTTTGGGGGATGCTTCTGGACATTTCTCTGAAAAAAGATAAACCCTAATCTATCTTCTTTACCTCCATTCTTCTTCCTCTATAACTCCTTCTTTCCTTTATCCCCAAATTCTGTTCTGTGTTTTTAGAGCTCATTTGCAGGTCTGTAACAACTGGTATCAGAGCCCAACATGGTCACCACAACTTCAGCAGCCATGGAGGAAAGAATGTCTAGGCTGGAAGCTATGCTCTTGGAGAACAGTAGCAGCCTCACTGAGGCCAGGCAAGAGATGAAAGATAGCAACCAAGAACTTAAGGAGCATATGCAAACCTGGAAGGATGAGATCGTGGAGCTCCTCAGGCTCAATAGACCACCCCCACCCACTGAGCCTTCATCTGTCCATGGCCAAGCTTAGACAACTCAGGACAGCCCAGGAGAAGAAGGATCTGGCCTTGGCAGGAGGCCTGGCAAAGAGCCTGCAGTGGATGGCCACTTTGAGCCACAGGAGCTGACTGATGATGAAGAAGGGCTGGGAGAAAATCAGTTTGGGCCCCACATGCCTCCTTTGAGAGCTGAAAGACCTTGGATGCCAAGGAGAGTGCATTTCAACCCCAGACCTGGACTAAACAACCAACAGGGTGAACAAACAGTGAGGTATAAGCATGAATTTCCTGTTTTTGACTATGATAACCCAAGGTTGTGGGTGGTGAGGTGTGAGAGGTTTTTTATGTTAGCTAGGATGCCCAGAGATGAAGTGATGCATGTTTTGTGTGTTAACCTAACTGGAAAGGCAGCTATGTGGTATGAAACCTACTTAAACAGTCTAAGAGAAGGGTTCCAATGGACCTTGTTTGCTAGGGCTATTTGCAAAAGATTTTGTGATAATCATGCAGATGTAATGGAGGAATTCTCCAACTTTAAACAATGGGGAAGTGTGGTGGAGTTTTCAGACAAGTATGAGGAGTTTAAGGGACTTCTATTGCAGAGCTATCCCACCTTGACTGATCAATATTTTTTAGATAGCTTTGTGGTGAGGTTGAAACAGCAGCTTAGATGTTTTGTTAGAACTTCTAGGCCTGCAAACTTGGAGGATGCAATATGGCTTGCAAGACAGTTTGAGAAAGGATTGAGAGTGAGTGAGCCTTCCAAAAATACCACCATTAACCCCACTAGATCACCCTACAATCCAAGAACCACATTCACTAGCCAGAAAACCCAATCTAACCCCAGATCATACTCACCTAAACCAACTGAGCCAAACAGAACCTATACACCACAAACACCAGCTAAAACCACATCCTCCAATACCCTGCAATCCAATGCCAGGTCACCTGAGATCACTAGATTCAGGGACCAGTTGAGAGAACAAAATAGATGCTATAGATGCTTTGATCCATGGAGTCCTGGGCATAAGTGCAGGAACCCTACTTTCAATATTTTAGAAGGGTCTGAGAGCCAAGAGTTGGAGGGAAACAGTATAGAAGAACAGTTAGAAGAGAAGGACATTGATGATACAATTGAGAATGAAGAAGTGGAAGTGACTTTGAATGCAGTAATAGGAGGGGAAGGCATGAACACAATTAAACTGTTGGGATTGATGGGAAAACAGAATGTGATAGTGTTGGTGGATAGTGGGAGTACCCACAGCTTTGTAGATCCCAAGGTTTTGGATCAGATGGGAATTATTGCTGAGAAGGCTGAGAACCTCAAAGTCACAGTGGCAAATGGTGAAGTGATGGAGTGTGACTCCATTTGTAAAGACTTGGAATGGAATGTGCAGAAAGAGCAATTCAAGAAGGATTTGAGAGTTCTTAAGCTAGGAGGGTGTGACATTGTCCTTGGCATGGACTGGATAGACACTTATGCTCCTATACAGCTACACACCAGACCTCCTGGAATCTCTTTCCACAAGGAGGGTAAAAAGATACTGCTGAATGGTCTGACCAAAAAGATTGTGTTGCAACAGGCCTCTAAAAAAGAATTGAGGAAATGGAAGAAAGAAGGAGTGCAAGGATATCTTCTGCAAGGCCTATCCTATGCTATTAATCCTCCTGAAACCACAGAGCATGAACACCCTGAGTTGACAGCCATACTGCAGGAGTACCAAGAGGTCTTTGAGGAGCCTAAAAAACTTCCTCCTGCAAGAACACTGGATCATAGTATCCCTTTGGTTTCAGGATCTAAACCTGTACATTCCAAACCCTATAGATACTCTCACCTGCAGAAGAATGCAATTGAAAAAATGGTGGATGAAATGTTGACTGCTGGAATAATCTCCCATAGTACATCTCCTTTTGCCTCACCAGTTCTTTTAGTGCCAAAAAAGGACAACACCTGGAGGTTTTGTGTGGATTACAGAGCTCTGAATGGCATTACAACCAAGAACAAGTTCCCAATTCCCTTAATAGAGGACTTGTTCTCAGAATTGGCAAATGCAAAGTTTTTCACCAAATTGGACTTAAGGGCTGGCTACCACCAAGTGAGGATGAAGAAGGGTGATGAGTACAAGACTGCCTTTAGGACACATCAAGGCCTTTATGAATTCAATGTTATGCCATTTGGATTGACTAATGCACCAGCTACATTTCAAGCTCTCATGAACTTGGTGTTCAAGCCCTTGATAAGGAAAACAGTCTTGGTGTTTTTTGATGACATATTAGTTTACAGCCCTTCACTGAACCAACACTGGGAACATTTAAGGGAGGTGCTTTACATAATGAAGAAAAACCAACTATTAGCCAAACTCAGTAAGTGTTCCTTTGCTAAGAAGGAGGTAGAGTACTTGGGACACATTATTTCTGAGAATGGGCTGCAAACTGACCCAGGGAAA